TACCGACTCAATGGCACCTAATAACAACAACAAAGAGAGATCCCAGCCATATCATCCCAGACTTCTGAAGGCAGAACTGCGAGCTAATAGGTGTCTATTGTTCTATGTCACTAAGTTTGTAGTAATTTGTTAGCGCAGACATACATTATGTTGTTTTTGTTAAGTATCAAGTCAGTTCAAACTCAAAGCAACCTCATGTACAAGAGAATGACACACTATCCAGTCCTGCACCATGTTTACTATCATTGCTGTGTTTGAGAACAATGTTGCAGACGCTATGTGAAAGCATCTAAAAGACAGTCTGCTTTTGTTGATGATTTTTTACTACTTTATGAAGCTTGATAACATGTCCAAAGTAAGACGAAGTCTTGCGGTCCTCACTTCAAAGAGCATCCTGGCTGTACTTTTTAAAAAATAGATTTCTTTGTTCTTCTGGCAATCCATGGCAAATTTTGTATTTATCAACACTATAATACAAAAATGTCGATTCTTTGGTCTTTCTTATTCATTGTCCATGCTTCTGATGAGATGACTGGAAAAAAATCATGGAGTAGGTCAGACCGTAGATTATTTTAATTTGCATTTTAAAAATTTATAAAGCATTTGTTATCTAGGTTCACAGAAATCACTAGAAGTTATTAGGTACATTTTGTATTTTCCTCCTTATAAAAGAAATAGCAAGTTCCTTACTCAAAATCTAAAACAGAAAAGAGAAAAAAATGTGTAAGATTTTATTAAAATGTGGTTCTGGGACCCATTGGAGTTGCTGCTAGATAGAAATATGACTATTTTAGGGGTATAATAAGAATGACTATGTATACATTCTGTTTTGGCATTACAGAAAAATACTTCAGTATCAATAATTCAAATATTTAGCAGCTTTCCTTATCTTGAACACAGCATAACATTAAGTAATAAAAGTTGTCTGAGCTGACATTATAGATATCACATAAAGCTTCTATAAAGAATAAAGCCTTTTATTCAACTCACAAGAGAGACCCTCAGTTCATTGCACAAAGCCTTTTTACTAGAATTTTAATGCAATATTAATAAGGTCAGTTACCTAACTTCCAAGCTTCTTAGAAGCCTATAAATTAAAATGGTATGAGGCAGTTGAAAGCAACATTAACTGACTATAAGTTAATAGCCAAAAAAATATAACACCATTGGTTTAACTCAAATAGAACAGTCATGCAAATCTACCTAAAGAGAAAATAAATCATACAATGCTTAAACAGCATCTTGGCTCATGACTGATAATGATTTTGATGACATGATATCTTTAGGAAAAAGTCAAGCTGTTTTATTCTCTTTAAGAAAGTGGTAAATATGAGAAACATTTTGTAATTTTTTTAACAGAAGTTTTTTTCATAATGTATATAGTACAAGAATTAGACCTTACACTTTAAAGAAAATGTAATATCAAAACATGACATATTTCTTGATTTTTCAAATAAAATAACTATTTCATTGACTTTCAAGTATCCAAATATTATGAGAAATATAGAATTAGGATAATGTTCTTACACTTATACAAAGTTTTATTATAGGTAAAATTATTTTTTAGTGCAAATAAAAGTCTCTATTTCTTAGGTAATTACATCTTTCTATTTTGTAAGGATAGTCTTGTAAGCATTTCATAATCCTCATCATAATTCTATACATGTCAAATAAGTGACAAAATTCTACAGACATCTATGCAATCCTATATCAAGTTAAAATGTAAATAAACCATTACATTTAATGCATTCACTGAAAGATAAATAGAATGTACAATATTGTGTGCCAAAATGTCGACTATACAAAGTCAAGCTGAAGTTAGCAGTAGACTACATTTAGAAGATATTAACCTATACTAAGCCATTTATAGAGAAGCCAAAAATGACTGCAGCTAAGATAGTGAAGATGCAGTAATGAAAGGAAACTTTGCACACAATTGATTGGCTTTTCATTTGAGAGTCTTCTTTCATTTTTCGTAAAGGAATATGGCTTCCTGAAGCTGAAGTTGCTTCTCTGCAGTCACTGGAGTCCATATAAAGAATTTAACTTAACACATAAGTATTTTTCCTGA